TTTAGTGCTGGGGTATTAAAATAAAACCCACCCATCACCCAGATTTCAGTGCCTCCAGTCATGTTCTCTCCCTTCCACATCACCCCTCTTCTCCCCCTTGCATGGACATAGCAAGAGCAAGAAGAGACAGGAAAGCACCTGTTGCCCTCTTCAGCCAGCCTGCGGGGCTTTCCTTCTTTCTTCCTCCTCTGCCCAGCACCCATAGCTGCCATAACCCCAAATGAGCACTGTACATGTGCTTCCTGGGTTTGAACCCAGCTCAGCCACCCTCTTTCCTAGCCTTGTGGCGCTAAGTCCCTCTACCTGGCCTCAGGTGAAGAACACACCTCCCACAGAAGGTGGCATGAAAACCCCTGGTTTGTCAAGCCTGGCACGTGGCTTGTTCATTCTTTGAAACTGAAATGGTGAAAGGAACTCTGGGTGGGTCAGACTGCTCTGGGCAGGACCTGAGCTGGTCTGGTCAGTAGAGGGGCCCTCTCTTCTCCACTTCCCATCTCCTGAATAATTCATGACAAACAAAATGGCTGGGCCAGACCTGGGCCGTCCCTTCTCCTGCCAGGGAAGGGAGAAAAGTTTCTAATTACAGATCAGCGCGGGCCAGGCTCCCCGGCCCCTGGGCGCAGCACACAGGGGGTATTTATGGGCAGAGACGGGAAGGGGAGGGGCTGGGTCCCAGTCCCTTTCCAGAAGGAGTTCAGCTCCTTTTGAAATTGTAACCTTGGCCTGCCAAAGCTCGGGAGGGACTGGGGAAAGAAACCTAGAACAGCAGGAAGAGAAAACCCTGTGGGAGGGGTCAGAGAGAAGTGTCCAGGAAAAAAAACGCGAGGTCAGGAAGGGAATCTGGGGAGACCTGGCAAGCAGAACTGACTGGACATGGAGGGAAGAGATTTTTGCCAAAGTCTCATTGAGCATGGCAAAGCCGAGCTTCCAAAGGGGGGGATGTCCTGGATCCTGAACCACACACAGTCTCTTAGCTCCATTACAATTTCCTCATCTGTACAATGGGGAGAAACATCATACCTTTCTTAGAGCCTCTTTGGGAAGTTACATGTCAAGTGCCCGTCGGAATGCACCCTGCACACACACACTACCATATGTATATATGTCAGCAGTCATTTGTTTTTTGGTTAAGTCAGTAAAAAGGTAAGATGACAAGAACAGGTACAAGAAGAGAAGAGAAGAGGAGAAAAAGTACCTGTGAAGAAATTTAGTATAGTGACGAAGAGTAAGAACTCCCTTTCAGGATTGTTGGCATGGCCCATGATCCAGTCTCTCAGGAGGCTGAGGCAGGAGGATCACAAGTTCAAGGCCAACCTGGGCAACTTGGTGAGACCCTGTTTCAAAACAGAAAATAAAGGGCTGGGGCTGTAGCTCAGTGGTACAGCACCCATGGGTTCAGTCTCCAGCATTAGTCTGCCTGGGTTCAAATCCCAACCCTGCCTCTCACTAGCTTCGTAATCTTGGCCAAATTACTATACTTTTCCTAGCTTCCACTTACTATCTTTAGTAAATGGTAGCCATCATGACTGGTGAAAAGTGGGGAACAAGATGAACAAGGTCCCTGTTCTCATTGGAACTTACAGTCTAGCAACAATGATTATCCTGGGGCTGGGGATGTGGCTCAAGCGGTAGCCCGCTCGCGGTTCGATCCTCAGCACCACATACAAACAAAGATGTTGTGTCCGCCGAGAACTAAAAAATAAATATTAAAAAATTCTTTCTCTCTCTCTCTCTTTTTAAAACAAACAAACAAACAAACAAACAATGATTATCCTAATTGGGGCATTTGTTGCATATCTACTATGAGCAAGTCCTATATTCGCTGCAAACATCCCCTCCTCTAACTCTCATGGCATGCACCCCCATTTTATGGATAAAAGGCTGAGGCTCAAAGAAGTCAGGAACAGGGAAAAGACTTGAAATGAAGAGGACATTCAACAGCATGGATGAATCTCCAAACTAGCATGCTAAGCGCACCCCCCCCACACACACAAAGCCAAACACAAAGGGTGTGTGTGTTGTATGATCTCATTTACATGAGATTATAGGAAATGCAAACTAATTTATAGTGACAGAAAACAGATGAAGGTTGCCTAGGAATAAGGGTTGAAGGGGCATTGACTGCTAGAGGCATGTGGGACCATTTTGGGGAGACAGAAAAATATATATATTTTGGTACTGGGGATTGAATGAACCCAGGGGCATTTTACCACTGACCTACAATCTCAATCCCCCTTTTTTTTTTTTTTTTTTTTTGAAAGAGGGTCTTGCCAAGTTGCTGAGGCTGCTTCAAACTTGTGATCCTCTTGCCTCAGCCTCCTGAATAGCTGGGATTATAAGCACATGCCACCATGCCCAGAGATGGAAAAGTTTAAGTGACAGTGTTACTAGTTACACAGGGTTCAGTGTTCATGGAGATGGACACTTAAAATGAGTACTTTCTTGCAAGCAAATTCTATCTCAATACAATTAATTTTTTTTTTTTTTTGGTATTATGGATTGAACCCAGAGGTGCTTAACCACTGAGCAACCTCCCCAGCCCTTTTTATATTGAGACAATGTCTTGCTCAGTGGCTTAGAGTCTTACTAAGTTGCTGAGGCTGGCTTTGAACACACAATCCTCCTGACTCAGCCTCCCAAGACCTGGGATTACAGGTCTACGCCACGGCATCTGACTGAAATTGATTTTTTTAAAAAGGGAGGTGAGTGGGTTGTAGCTCAGCGGTACAGCACTTGCTTAGCATATGCAAGGCGCTGGGTTTGATCCTCATAAAAATAAATAAACAAAATAAAAAAGTATTATGTCCAACTACAACTAAAATAAATAAATAAATAAATAAATAAATAAATAAATAAATAAATAAATAAAAAGAGAGGTAAAGGAATGGTATACCAGATTCCAGAACCCTGCATTCCTTCTTATATTACTTGAGTGTTTGAATTCGAACTCATTTGTGGACAGAAACTGTATTAGATTCATCTTTAGATCATCTCCTTGCTTACCCACCCCAAGGCCTCGCAAAATTTTAAACCTAATGATTTAGATTAACAAATATATCATGGGTGTCTTCTTTGTGCTGGGTGCTGAAATCACAGAGCAATAAGTCTAGTATGAAAAAAACAGAATAAAATAGACAAAGTACAGTGCTTTGTCTAAATACTAAATATTCTGACGGGGCAAGCGATACATTACTGAGCCAAACTAATAGATCCTACCCAAAGTCGGGAACTTGGAGTGGTGAAAATCTCAGGTCCTGGGATCTACTGCCTGGGTTTGAATCCCTGTTCTGCCACTTACTAGTTGTGTGACTTTGTGTCATACCAAGCCTCAGTTTCCACCTCTGGAAAATGGAGATCAAATTAGCTCCAACCTAGAGGGATGTTGAACCGATTAAAGGAGTCAGGGGAGCCACAGTACGTGCTCATAATTATTAGGTGCTCTAGGTAACTGAGGAGCAGGGGGCTAGAGAGGGGCACAGAGGGAGGCTTCTCTACCCAACACAAGGTGGTATAGGTGTCGGGAATGCGGTTCTCAGAGAGGTGATGCTTGGAAAAGGAATTGGCCAGTTTAAGCGGTCATGGGGACAGGAGGGAGTGGGAACAGCTTGGAGCAAATGCTCAATAAATATTTGCTCAATAAAAAAAAAAAAAAAATAGAGACTATGCAAGGCTTGCCTGTAACCAGGGGGACAGAGAAGGCCTGCCAGGGCAGTCTGGAGGGTCCTCAGGAGGCGGGGTCTGAGTGGCGGGTCCTATTGGCAGCTTCCAGCACTGCCTGGCCTGGTCTGACCCCACCCTGTCCGCTGGTAGACTCTGGACACCCCCAGACCTGCAGCCTGAAGCCTGTAGGAGGGTAAAGGATGGTGAAAGCTGGGGGGACAGGGGTCCTCGAGGGCCTTTTCCCTCTCATAAGAATGGGCCAAGTCCCTGCGAGGCGCCTCTCCCGCCCCCGTTGTCCGAGCCACAAAGGACTGGGATCAATGGAAGGCGGGAGCGGCCGAGGGGCCTCCTCTTTGTGCGGCTGTCTCAGGCCTGTTTGCGCCGCCGTCTCCGCGCCCCCATTGATCAGGCATGTGGAAAGATTCCGCCTCCCGGGCTCCCTTTGTGGCCGCGTTGCCAGGCTGCGCCCGCCGGGGACTGCAGCGTGCAGGGCGCTCCCGCCTGCGGTGGGCACCGGGCTGCAAGGCCGGGCGGGTCCGGGAGGGCGGGGCAGATGAAAATACAGGATGCCCCATAAAATCTGAGTATTTGACAAATAACAAATAAAATCCAAAGCAAAAGAAAAAATTAGTATAAGTATGTCCCAGATGTTATATGGGACATACTTATACTAAATAAAAAAATTGTTCTTTATTTGATGTTTGAATTTAAGTAGGCATGCTGTATTTTATTTGGTACCCAGGAGAAGGAAATCCAATAAAGCTCCATTGCCAAGCGTGTACAATTCCCCTAAATTTAGTCATGGGAATTTTGTTGTGTTTGCTTGCTTTTTCTTTTGACGGTGTCTGCACACTTCCTGAACCACTGTTTTTATTATTATTATTATTATTATTATTATCATCATCATCATCATCATTATCAATGGTACTGGGATGACACCAGAGCTTTGCACATGCTAGGCAAGTGCTCTACCACTGACCTACACCCCCCTCCCGACCCTGAACTAATATTTAGATACTATTTTTTTTCTGAATTGAATTTTTTAAAGTAACTTATCCATAATGACTTTTGAGAACCACACCAGCTTGAACAAGTTTTAACTGTACCTCTTGATCCATTGTTACCTAATGGGAACACCCCTGTGGCTCTGCCCACATCAGGATATCGAATATTCCCATCACCCCAGAAAATTCCCTTGGGTCCCTCAGCAGTATCCTTTCCTGGTGACAGCCATCATTCTCACTTCTGTCCCTAAAGATTCACACTAGTGTGTTTTTTTGTTGTTGTTGTTGTTGTTGTTTTGTTTTGTTTTTAAGCAGGGATTGAAACCCAGGGTGCTTAACTACTTAAGCTACATCCCAGCCCTTTCTTTTTTTTTTTTTTTTTTTAATTTTCAAATGGGGTCTCTCTAAATTGCTTTGAGCCTTGCTAAATTTCTAAGGCTGGCTTTAAACTTGCAATCCTCCTGCCTCAGCTTCCCACGCCTCTGTGATTACAGTTGTTCGCTACCACGTCCAGCACATTAACTATATTCTTGAACTTCATAAAAATGGAATCATATAGCTTTCACTCTCTTGAATCTGGTGTTTTTCATTCAACATTATGTCTGTAAGATTTGCCCACGTTGTGGGTGAATCTGTTACTTTTACCTTTCTCTGCTGGCTGAGGAGATGTTTTGGTCATCCTGTCTTGTTAATGGATGCCTCAGCTTTTTCCAGGTTTTGGTTACTATGAACAAAACTTCTGTGATCATATTTGTTCTAGTCATTGAATGACTTAAATATATTTAACCTAAGCAATAATTATTTATGAATATATTTTTTGTGAATTATTATTTGTGAATTCACAATATTATTTGTGAATTCATATGCTTGAAACGGTACTTTTACTTTTTTTTTCTCCTGCACATTAAATGTGCATTAAACTATTATATATATTTATATAAGTGCCTTTGTATGGACCAAGCCCACCTTCTGTAGCATCAATAGTCACATGTCAAACTACAGAATAGAGTTTCAAAGAACATGCTGGTGCTAAGGATGTAACTCAGTGGTAGAGTGTTTACCCAGTATGTGCAAGGTGCTGGGTTAGAGTCCCAGAGCCATTGGGAGAGGGAGACACACGAGGGGGGAGTAATAGGGAGATAAAGAGAGAGAGCAGAGAGAGAAATAAAAGCTAGCAGGCTATCTTGGGGTGGATCCTGGCAAATGAATTAGCTCCTCTGAGCATTGTTTCTTCATCTGTAAAATGGGTGTGATAGTGCTAATTATCTCTCAGTAATTGAAAAGGCAAAATGGGATAATGCTTTATAAAAGTAAATAGCACATGGCTGGCAGGACATATAGTGGGTGCTCCATACTTGAGCTATTATCAAGTGTTTGATGGACAGCTGTAATTGATGAGCTGGGCCTGTTAGATGCTTGCTTTCATTCCATCCTCATTTCAGCCCTTTGAGGTAATGGGCTGAATTATCAGCCCATTTTGTTCTTATCAGCCCATTTTGCAGATAAGGAAATTGAGGCTCTAGGAGGCAAAGTCATTTGCCTGAGATGACCTACTTAAGTCGCAAAGGCACCTACCTCCCAGAGTAGTTTCTGCAGCCAAGTGGCAGGAGGGACTTATGAGGCTCCTGCCTGAAGATGAGATTGGGTTATAAGGAGGAGCTAAGTACCTTCTCCTCCTGTCTCTGTGTCCCCCATGAGCACCCAACTCAAAGGCAGTCAGCTTTCTCTTTGGAGGGTGGGAGGAACTGGGTTGGACCTTCCTAGGAGAGGCCAAGACTGCCAGCCAACAGGCAGGTGGGAGGACAGGCAAGGCGAGTCAGACGGGGTAGATGGGGGCAGAGGAAGCAGGAAGCAGGAGAAGCATAGCCTTCCTCCAGCCGCAGCCGCTGGGCAGAGCCCAGCATCACTACCTGCCATCTGAAGGGCACGGGAACTGCTGATCTCAGGCGATTAGCATAACAATCCCGATCCGTCGTCCTCGGGCCCAAAGCTGGGTCTGCACAATCCCATTTCAAGCCAGCTCTTTCTTTAGCTAGCTAATTAGGAAGGGAGTGCGGGGGCAGGTGTGTGGGGGGGCACAACCTTCTTAAAGGGCTCCTGCACCCAGGGCCCAGGCTGGAGCTGAGAGCTGGAGATTGCCTGATAATACCTTCCGCCAGGGCCAAGTGTGGGTGCCATCTCAGTGCCTCGCCCCAGGCAGATTGAAAATATTGGCCCACCAAAGATTTCCCTGGGCTCCCTGTTTCCACTGCCTCAGCCCCTTTAGTAACAATCGTGGAATAAATATGTCCCACTCACAGTTGCATTCCAGGGCTCTGCAAAGGGTGGGTGCTCAAATAGAATTTTAAATATATATATATACTTTATTTATTTTTATGGGATGTTGAGGATTGAACTTAGTGCTTCACACGTGTGAGGCAAGCGCTCTACCGGGGAGCTATAATCCCAGGCCCTCAAATAGAATTTTTGAAATAAAAAATGTATGCATACTTTTGAATGAAATAAGGTCTCATTATGTTACTCAGGGCTCAAGGCATCCTTCTGCCTCAGTCTGGTGAATAGCTGAGACTATGTGTGCAAATCACCACGGCTAGCTCTCAAGTAGAACTTTTAAAACAGGTAACAGGCTGGGGATGTAGCTCAGTGGTAAAGCACTTGCCTAGCAAGTATAAGGCCCTGGTTTTGATTCCAGAACTGCAAATAACAACAACAACCATTATTATTATTATTATTGTAAAATAGATAACTAAAGCACAGAACTGATGGTTCAGAACTCAGGACTTTACCTATTAATAAGGCTGGTCCCAGTGAAGGTCACTGAGGCAGCCCTCTCTTGTCAGGGACCTCAGGATCTTCTGCCCTTTCCATTCTCAGGTCCTCAGTCCCTCCTCACCCTGTTCCAGCTTTCAGGCCCCAGAAGTCAGAGAGGGAACATGGGGTGAGTGGGCACTTTGGGAAGACTCTTTTCCTCCTGTAGGTTTTTTTTTTTTTTTTGTGTGTGTGTGTGTGTCTGGTTTTGTTTTGTTTTTAATGGTGTTGGGGATTGAACCCAGGGTCTTATGAATGCAAGGCAAGCATTCTACCAGTTGAACTATATCCCCAGCTCTCCTCCTGTGTGTTCTTGAGCAAATCTCTTAACCTCTCTGAGGCTCAATTTTCTTATTGGTAAATGGGGACAATTAAAACCTGCTTCCAGGGACTGGAGGTGTAGTTCAGTGGTAGAGCACTTTGAAGCATGCACAAGGCCCTGGGTTCAATCTCCAGTATCACAGGACCTGGGTGGATTGCTTTAGAAATGGAGGTGTAGCTCAGTCGTTGAGCATATGCCTAGCATGTTCGAGTTCCATCCCCAACCCAGGATAGTGAGGGGGTCTGCTTTAAAACTTGTTTGTTTCACTCACTAGCCTGAGTGAAGCCCAGGATATCCCCACCCTGAACACACAAAATTGCATGTATGCATTTGTTAAAGCACCACAGGGGAATACCTGCCACACTTGGGAGGTTCTTCTCTCTCCCTTCCATAAAAACATCTCCAGCCTTACTACTAATGGGGTTATTGGTTATCACGTGCCCATTATGTCAGTCCCTGTTCAGTGTCTACGTTCTCTCTTCTATTCTCCTAACGCCCCTGCGGAGTAGGTTCTGTACTTTTTGAAAAGGAAAATGAAGTCCGAGAGGGAAAGTGACTTGCCCAAAGCCACACAGCTAGAAAGCTCCTGAAGGAGGCTTCAGCCCAGGTGACCCTGTAAATAGTGCAAGGCCAAGAAGGGGACCCCTTCCCCATGCAGGCCTGCAGGCCGCTCAGATAACGCTTGGTCCCCTAGGAAGCAGTGGGGAGACAGCATTCTGCTGAAGCCTGACAACAGAAAAGTCATTTTAGCCAGTGACAAGTGCCTTCCAGGCAGGAAGACAGGATGATGGGAAAGAGTGGGGCAGAGAAATCTTTGCAGGTGGGTGGGAGACAGGCCCGGTGAGACCCTGAGACAAGACCCAGCTTGGGCCCTGTGTGGCTGGAACGCTTGGAGAGGGGGTGTGGGTGGAGTGGAGGAGGCTGGAGAGGGAGGAAGGGCCTCAACCAGGCAGGGACCAAGGGACACAATAAGAACCTCTTGCCTCTTCCCCTTCCCTCCCTCCTTCTCTTCCTTCCTCCCATGGCTACTATTTCCCAGGCTTTGGACCAGGGCTGAGGGCCTCTGAGTTTCTCTTAGCTTTCCCCCTCTTCCCCTCTTCTTCCCAGCCCCCTCCTCCTCTCCTGAACAGCTGCCCCACCCCCTACTGGTCCAGCTCTGCCTCCTCCCCTCTCCAGACCCTCCCTCTGACAATGAGGACTGAACCCTGAGACCAGCTCTCCATAGGATTGTCCCTTTAAGGAATCCCTAACTCCGGACACCCCTCTCCTCCCCCACCTGAGAACCAATTAGGGTTCCTGAATTCAAGTAGAGGCTTTTGTGTGTCACGTGTTTGGGGAACAAAGCCCTCGGCGGCAGGAATAAAAGCTCCTATTCAGGAGCCAGTTTGTTCTCATTCTAATCGTTTCCACTCCAACCTCGCCTCCTTCCCTCCTTCCCGGGTTCCCAGGGCCGCCCAGCTCAGCCTCACCTACCTGCCTCAGCACCCCACAGGAGCACCCTACCCAAAAGCAGGTGGCCACAGACCCAGGGCTCTGCCCACCTTCACTTCCTAAGAGATCAGATGACACCAGCAGGCTGGAGCTGGGCCCTGGGCTTCTCCTACTTGATCCTGTAGGGCTGCTCATGTCCTCACTGCTATGGGGGAAACTGAGGCCTGCCCCAGAGTCGAGCAGCTAGGAGGAGGTGGGTCTGGACTCGACTCTCTGCTGGTCAGGGTGAGGACAGGACAGGGTGACGGAGAAGCTACCCTGATTGTAAAAGTCCATGGGGCTGGGCAGCTGCTGGTGTTGGGGACTCCCCAGGATGGCCAGGGAAGGAGTGACAAGTGAGGTCAAAGTCACAGACAAGTCCAGGGAAGGACAGGAGTTGGAACTCAGGTCGCTGAGGGAAGTAGTGGAGCCCTCAGGTCTGCGAATGGAGAGCCAGGGACAGTAGGGACATTTATATAATGGAGCCATTAAGGAGGAGGTATTGATAACGAAATGGGAATTGACGTATTGCCAAGAGAAGAAGGCAAGCGCTGACCGTAGTCTGATCACATCTGTGTAAGAGAACAAGGAAATACACAGGCAGGTTGCAGGTTTCTCTATGTATAGAAAACACTTTGGAGAATATAGCATAAATTAGATGTTTGTGTTTATTTCCTTGGAAGAGTGAAGATGAGGAGTAGAAAGAGGGCACTTAATACTTTTCTGTACAGTTTGAGACTCTTTTTTTTTTTTCTTACCTGGATCATATGTTTATTTTATAAATAATAATGATTATTTTGGTCTTATTTATTATTAATTTATTTATTATTTTGGTACCAGGGATTGAACCCAGAAGCACTTAACCACTGAGCCACATCCCCAGCCCTCTTTATTTTCTATTTTGAGACAGGGTCTCAGTAAGTTAGCCAGGGCCTCGCTAAATTGCTGAGGCTGGCTTTGAACTTGAAATCCTCCTGCCTCAGCCTCCAAAGCCACTGGGATTACAGGTGTGCGCCACCGCCACCGCACCCAGCCTCCAAGACATTTTCTTTACCCCAAAGGCAAACTCCTCTCCCCTCAAGGAACAACTACCAATTCCTCCATTTCTATGCCCGATAATCATTCATCTGCTTTCTCTCTATATAGATTTACCTATTTTGGATATTTCATATAAATGGGATCATACAATATGGCCTTCTATGTCTGACAAAAGGCACTCTTGTCCACTTATCATGCTGTGTTGTAGCATGTATCAACCAGTACAACATTCATTTTTATGGTTAAATTGTATTTCATTATATGCTTTTACCACATTTTGTTTATCTGTGCATCACTTGGAGGACAAATAATTTATTGATTTTTATTTGTTTTAATTAGTTATACATGACCGAATGAATTTTGACACATCATACATAAATGGAGTATAACTTCTCATTCGTCTGGTTGTACATGATATAGAGTCACACAGGTCATGTGATCATATATGCACATAGGATAATAATGTCTGATTCATTCTACTGTCATTCCTTCCCCATGTCCCCTCACCTCCCTTTACTCCCCTCTGTCTAGTCCAAAATACCTCTATTCTCCCCCTACTCTTTACTGTGAATTAGCATCTGCATATCAGAAAAAAACATTGACCTTTGGTTTTTTGGGATTAGTTATTTCATTTAGCATAATATTCTCCAGTTCTATTCATTTACCAACAAATGCAATAATTTCATTCTTCTTTAAGGCTGAGTCATATTCTATTTTTTATATATATATATTACAGTTTCTTTATCAATTTATTTGTTGAAGTACCTAGGTTGGTTTCATAGTTTCTGCTATGACTTTTCATAGACAAATTTTTGTCTAAACACCTGTTTTCAATTCTTTTAGATGTATCCCTCGAGCTGGGTCATATGGCAATCCTACATTTTACTTCTTGAGCAGCCCCAAACTCTTTTCCACAGTGCCACACAATTTTACCTTCCCACTACCAATTTACAGAAGGCTCCAGTTTCTCCACATTCTTGCCCACATTTGCTTTTGCTGATTGATTGATTGATTGATTGCCATGCTAGTTGGTGGTTTCTCATTGTGGCTTTGATTTGTATCTCCCTGATAGTTAATGGTGATGAACATCGTTTTATATGCTTTTGGGTCACCTGTATAAATCTTTTAGAAAAATATGCATTCAAGGGACTAAGGTTGTGGCTCAGTGGTAGTGCACTTGCCTAGCATGCTTGAGGCACTGGGTTCAATTCTCAGCACCACATACAAATAAATAAAATAAAGGTCCATCAACAATAAAAAAAA